TGTATGAATACCTCCATCAGTCATAAATCTCTGTGTATGTATGAATACCTCCATCAGTCATAAATCTCTGTGTGTGTCTGAGTCTATTTACATATCCATCTGCCTAGCTCATATCCATCCAACGATTGTCTGCCATCTATGAATTTAACATCTCTCCCTTGTCTACCATTTATAAACTTACTGGCTTTACTTACATATCATCAATCTCTTCCTATAATCAACACACACACACACACATACACATATATATATACTAACTATAATTCATTTTGCATCTAACACACATCTGCCTAATGTCTATAATTAGCATCTATACATCATCTAAGTATTCTCCATTCGTCACCTATCTTATGCCAACTATCTTCCTTTTGTCCCTCAACTTCTCTATTATTTACAATGCCATAGGTATCATGAACTTGAGCCTCAGGGAGAGTTTGAAGATATGTTATTGAGCCAGGCAGTAGTGGCGCATGCCTTTCATCCCAGCACTTGGGAGGCAGAGGCAGGTGGATTTCTGAGTCTGAGGCCAGCCTGGTCTACAGAGTGAGTTCCAGGACAGCCAGAGCTACACAGAGAAACCCTGTCTCGAAAAACAAACAAACAATAAAAAGATATGTTAACATATTAAATACTGGCAGAAGTTTGACACATGGTGACACTTGCATGTGTATCTGAAATCAGTGATAAGGTAACCCCATTGGTTTTCAAGGCATATACATATACATATACATATACATATACATATACATATACATATACATATACATATACATATACATATACATATACATATATTGACTACTCAGAATGAGCATAGGAACACCACATGAAGAAATCAAAGCAGAAGAATTGTGGTGAGCCAACACAGAGCAGATAGACGAGCATTATCAGCATTTCTGATGTACTTGGGGATTTCTGGTTCATACAAATAAGTCAAGCTGTTAAGATGGACTCTCTGATGGACTAGGGATGTATCTCAGGTGTTTGCATGTGAAGTTCTAAACAATAAAATTCTTAAAAACGAATCGAGACAAAAGGATTGAGGAGTAAGCATTTTTTCATGTATATTTCCCCAGGTTGTCGGGTTGCTTTTTAACTTCAGAATGCTGTAAAGAGATATCTGCTGTCCTTACTTGCAATAAAAGTCTAAAGACCCTGAAACTGGGCAACAATAACATACAAGACTCTGGTGTCAAACAGTTATGTGAAGCTCTGCGCCATCCTAACTGTAAATTGGAGTGTCTTGGGTGAGTTCTTACTGTCATGCTGGGAGGGTTCACACCTTGATCAGGAAATGCTAGAGGGTTAATAGGGTTGAGAAGAAGTCCAACTAGCATAGGCTCATAAGATTTGAGGAAATGCACAGTTCTTATACAGGCAGCAACAGATGCTGTGAGATTTTCCCCCAACACAATATCTGGTTCAATTTATTTTTCTGCCCCTTCTTCTGTGGTGATCCCTGACCCTTGGTGTGAAGGGGTGATATCAATACCTTATTTGAGCCTGAGTATTCTGTAGTCACTCTCTGAACATTGACTATCTGCGGTCTCCATATTCACCAGTCCCCTGCAAAAACAAGCTTCTTTGCTGAGGCTTGAGAGCAAAACTAAAACATAGAAATAATGCTAAGCATTTAGAACAATATTTCTCATCTTCGGGGTCATAACCCCTTTTGATTTGAAACAGGGATTTGCTCAGTGTTCGTTCTGTGGGCATTTGGGGCTGGTTAAGTCTTTGCTCAGAAGTGTGGAACTGACGCTGAACAGCAGATTGTTTTTCTGACATGTTCCCTGTCACAGGTTAGAGCTGTGTAAGTTCACCAGTGACTGTTGTGAAGACCTAGCCTTGACTCTCATCACCTGCAAAACACTGAACAGCTTAAATCTGGACTGGAAAACCTTGGACCACTCTGGGCTGGTGGTGCTCTGTGAGGCTTTGAGTCACAAAAGATGTAAACTGGAGATGCTTGGGTGAGTACACGCTGTCTCCATGGTCAAGAGTGGCTTCAGAACAAGCTCTTCTGTGACAGTTTGCTCAAGCTCAACTCCACTGTGACGGGGGTGAGGAGTTCTGTGGTGAGGGCTCACTGCTGCACTCTAGGCCATTGAGTGCTATCTTTGATTTTTATCCATTCATGAATACAATATTTTGGTAGTGATTAATCCAAATATCATCGTTGTTTTATATTGGATATTATATTTATTTACATTTCAAATGTTATCGCCATTCTTGGTTTCTCCTCTGGAAACCCCCTATCTCAACTTCCCTCCCCCTGCTTCTATGAGAGTGTTCACCCACCTTGGCATTCCCCTGCACTGGGGCATGGAGGCTTTTTTAGGACGAAGAGCCTCTCCTCCCATTGATGTCTGACAAGGCTATCCTCTGCTACACATGCAGCTGGAGCCATGGGTCCCTCCATGTGTACTCTTTGCAATTTTATGAGGTCCCATTTGTCAATTCTTGATCTTAGAGCATAAGCCATTGGTGTAGTGTTTACGAACATTTCTCCTGTGCCTAGGTATTCGAGGTTCTTCCCCACCTTCTCTTCTACTAGTTTCAGTGTATCTGATTTTATGTGAAGGTCCTTTATCCACTTGGACTTGAGCTTTGTACAAGGGGATAAGAATGGATAGATTTGCATTCTTCTACATGATGACTTCCAGTTGAACCAGCACCATTTATTGAAAATGCTGTCTTTTTTCCACTGGATGGTTTTAGCTCCTTTGTCAAAGATCAAGTGACCATAGGTGTATGGGTTCATTTCTGGGTCTTCAATACTATTCCATTGATCTTCCTGCCTGTCTTTGTACCAATACCATGCAGTTTTTATCACTATTGCTCTGTAGTACAGCTTGAGGTCAGGGATGGTGATTCCTCCCGAAGTTCTTTTATTGTTGAGAATAGTTTTCGCTATCCTGGGTTTTTTTGTTATTCCAAATGAATTTGAAAATTGCTCTTTCTAACTCTATGAAGAAATTTGAAATTTTGATGGGGATTACATTGAATCTGTGGATTGCTTTCAGCAAGATGGTCATTTTTACTATATTAATCCTGCCAATCCATGAGCATGGGGGATCTTTCAATCTTTTAAGATCTTCGGTTTCTTTCTTCAGAGACTTGAAGTTCTTGTCATACAGATCTTTCACTTGCTTGGTTAGAGTCACTCCAAGATATTTCATATTATTTGTGACTTATTGTGAAGGATATCATTTCCCTATTTTCTTTCTCAGTGTGCTCACACTTTGAGTAGAGAAAGGCTACTGATTTGTTTTGAGTTAATTTTATATCCAGTAACTTTGCTGAAGTTGTTCATTGGGTTGAGGAGTTCTCTGGTAGAAGTTTTGGGGTCACTTAAGTATACTATCTTATCATCTGCAAATAGTGTTATTTTTTACTTCTTCCTTTCTAATTTGTATCCCTTTGACTTCCTTTTGTTGTCTAATTGCTCTAGCTAGGAATTTAAGTACTATATTGAATAGGTAGGGGGAGAGTGGGCAGCCTTGTCTAGTCCCTGATTTTAATAAGATTGCTTCAAGTTTCTCTTCATTTAGTTTGATGTTGGCTATTGGCTTGCTGTATATTGCTTTTACTATTTTTAGGTATGGGCCTTGAATTCATGATTTTTCTAAGACGTTTATCATGAAGTGAAGGGGGTATTAAATTTTGTCAAATGCTTTCTCAGCAACTAATGAAATGATCATGTGGGTTTTTTCTTTGAGTTTGTTTATATAGTGGATTACATTGATGGATTTCCATATATTGAACCATCCCTGCATCCCTGGGATGAAGCCTACTTTATCATGATGGATAATTGTTTTGATGTGTTCTTTGATTCAGTTTTCAAGAATTTTATTGACTATTTTTGCATCAGTATTCATAAGTGAAATTGGTCTGAAGTTTTCTTTCTTTGTTGGGTCTTTGTGTAGTTTAGGTATAAGCATAACTGTGGATTCATAGAAAAAATGGGGTAGTGTTCCTTCTGTTTCTATTTTGTGGAATAGTTTGAAGAGTACTGGAATTAGGTCTTCTTTGAAGGTCTGATAGAATTCTGCACTAAACCCATCTGACCCTGGGCTTTTTTGTTGTTGTTGTTGTTGGGAGACTTTTAATGACTGCTTCTATTTCTTTAGGGATTGTGGGACTGTTTAGATGGTTTATCTGATCCTGATTTAACCTTGGTACCTGATATCTTTCTAGAAAATTGTCCATTTCATCCAGATTTTCCAGTTTTGTTGAGTATAGTCTTTTGTAGTGGGATCTGATCATTTTCTAGGTTCCCTCAGTTTCTGTTCTTATATCTACCTCCCTTTTCCTTTCTGATTTTGTTAATTTGGATACTGTCTCTATGCCCTCTGGTTAGTCTAAGGGTTTATCTATCTTGTTGATTTTCTCAAAAAAAAAAAAAAAACCAGTTCCTGGTTATGTTGATTCTTTTGTACAATTCTTTTGTTTCTACTTGGTTGATTTCAGGCCAGAGTTTGATTATTTCTGGCCTTCTACTCCTCTTGGGTGAATTTGCTTCTTTTTGTTCTAGAGCTTTCAGGTGTGTTGTCAAGCTGCCAGTGTATGCTCTCTCCAGTTTCTTTTTGTAGGCACTCAGAGCTATGAGTTTTCCTCTTAACACTGTTTTCATTGTGCCACATAAGTTTGTGTGTGTTGTGTCTTCATTTTCATTGAATTCTAAAATGTCTTTATTTTCTTTCTTTATTTAATCTTTGACCAAATTATCATTGAGTGGAGTGTTGTTCATCTTCCATGTGTATTTGTTTCTGTTGTTTTTGTTGTTATTGAAGACCCACCTTAGTCCATGATGATCTGATAGGATGCATGGGATTATTTCAGTCTTCTTGTATCTGTTGAGGGTTGTTTTGTGACAAATTATATGGTCAATTTTGGAGAAGGTATCATGAGGTGCTGAAAAGAAGGTATATTCTTTTGTTTTAGGATGAAATGTTGTGTAAGGTGCAATGTGTGCTTAGAACTTTAGTAAAGCTTCTTTTATGGACATGGGTGTCCTTGCATTTAGAGCATAGATGTTCAGAACTGAGAGTTCATCCTGGTATATTTTTCCTTTGATGAGTATGAAGTGTCTTTGCTTATCATTTTTGATAACTTTTGGTTGAAAGTCATTAGAATGCCTACTCCAGCTTGTTTCTTTGGGACATTTGCTTGGAAAATTGTTTTCTAGCCCTTTACTCTGAGGTAGTAGCTATCTTTGTCACTGAGGTGTGTTTTATGTATGCAGCAAAATGCTGGGTCCTGTTTACATATCCATTCTGTTAGTCTATGTCTTTTTATTGTGGAATTGAGTCTATTGATGTTAAGAGATATTAAGGAAATGCAATTGTTTCCTCCTATTACTGTTTTTGTTAGAAGTGTATTATGTTTGTGTAGATATCTTCTTTTGGGTTTGTTGAAAGAAGATTACTTTCTGGCTTTTTCTAGAATGTAATTTCCCTCTCTGTGTTATAGTTTTCCACCCATTATCCTTTATAGGGCTGGATTTGTAGAAAGATATTGTGCAAATTTGTTTTTGTCATGTAATATCTTGGTTTTTCCATCTATATTAATTGAGAGTCTTGCTGGATATACTAGCCTGAGCTGGCATTTTTGTTCTCTTAGGGTCTGTATGTCTTCTGGCCAAGAACTTCTGGCTTTTATAGTCTCTGGTGAGAAGTCTGGTATAATTCTGATAAGTCTGCCTTTATTTGTTTACTTGACATTTTTCCCTTATTGCTTTGAATACTTTCTTTGTTTTATGCATTTGGTATTTTGAGTATTATGTGACAAAAGGAATTTCTTTTCTTGTCCAATCTATTTGGAGTTCTGTAGACTTCTTGTATGTTCATGGGCATGTCTTTCTTTAGGTTAGGGAAGTTTTCTTCTATAATTTTGTTAAAGATATTTACTGGCCTTTTAAGTTGGGAATCTTCACTCTCTTCTATACCTATTATCCTTAGGTTTGGTCTTCTCATTGTGTCCTAAATTTCCTGGATATTTTGAGTTAGGAGCTTTTCACATTTTGCAATTCCTTTGTTGTGTCAATGTTTTCTATGGTATCTTCTGCACCTGAGAGTCTCTGTTGGGGATGCTTGCATCTATGACTCCTGATCTCTTTCCTAGGTTTTCTATCTCCAAGGTTATCTCCTTTTGTGATTTATTTATTGTTTCTATTTCCATTTTTAGATAACTGGATGATTTTGTTCAATTCCTTCACCTGTTTGTTTTTTTCCTGTAATTCTTTAAGGGATTTTTGTGTTTTCTCTTTAAGGGTTTCTAGCTGTTTACCTGTGTTCTCCTGTAGTTCTTTAAGGGAGTTATTTATGGCCTTCTTAAAGTCCTCTATCATCATTATAAGATGTGATTTTTAAATCCGAAACTTGCTTTTTCAGTGTGTTGAGGTGTTCAGTACTTGCTGTGGTGGGAGAACTGAGTTCTGATGATGCCAAGTAGCCTTGGTTTCTGTTGCTTATGTTCTTGTCCTTGCCCCATGCCATCTAGTTATCTCAGGTGTTAGTTGTTCTTGGTATCTCTGACTGGAGCTTGTCCATCAGTCATTTTTTTTCTTTAAAAAAATGTGACTTATTTTTAAAAGTTTTCATTCAGGTATAAAGAATGATGAAATCATAAAATTTTTAGAAAATATAGCAACCAGAAAGAAATAAACCACATATATTCTCTCTCATATATAGATCCTAGCCTACACATGTATTCTCTCTCTCTCTCTCTCTCTCTCTCTCTCTCTCTCTCTCTCCCTCTCCCTCTCCCTCTCTCACACACACACATATATATCATCATATACTGCACAAAATGGTAATAAAAAAGATAAATAAAAAGAAATATAAGTTCACATATATAGTATACTTAGTGTTGTTCACTAAATGGTCCCTAGATATAACAATTTTCTTTTTTATTTATTTCTTTTTATTGGATATCTTCTTTATTTACATAACAAATGTTTTCCCCTTTCCAGGTCTCCCCTTCACAAACCCCATTTCCCATCCCCCCCACCCCACCCCCCCCCCCCCGATTTTCAATGCCAAGTTAAGTTTTAAAACTTTTTTGTTTGCGTGTTTTGTCAAACCTCCTCCCTGTTGATTTTGATCCTGTACTAAGACTATAAAGTGTAATGTTCAAGGATGAAAGAAAAGCTAGAGTGTTAGCACAAAATGGTTAATCATGGTGAGAATACTACATTTGGGGCAGGACTGACCTAAAGAGAGGGTGGGGAATCAGGAGGTGAAATTGACCAACAAATCTAAAAGAGCCTGGCAAAGCAATGTGAACTCTTTGCATAATTAAAGGTGACATAACATGTGCTTATGGTCAACAGAAAAGAAAAAACAGACAGAGGGGAGGAGAAGTTTGAGGAAGCCAGCTGTAATTTCAGGGAGACCTGTGTTCCAATCTTATCTTGTGAAAATCAGGGGAAAATCCAAAATGTCTAAAGAAAAATGTTCAAAAAAGAAAATATATTAACTATGTTGAATATTGGCTCCTTAAGACATTATTTGTCAAAAAGAACATAAAAACAACAAAACAAAGACAGCAACAACAGTAACAACAACAAAACAAAATCAAAAGC